TATATATAATATATATAAGTATATATAATATCTATATTTAATATAATTTACATTTACATATTATTAATATATACTATATACCATATATAAAATATATAAAATATAATTATATTAATATTAAGAAAAAAAACATTATTTTTATCATTTTCTTAATTTTTCTCTTAAATATTAAACTTCATCTTCATTTTTGCTCCTTAATCACCTTATTTTTAGAGCGAATGAATGTTCCTTCGCCTCGTCGTTTTATCTAAGTATTTATTTACAGTCGATGTATTACTGCCCACGATATCGGTAAATGGATTATAGGCGTATATCCTACCGTTAATCGAGCCATCTACGAGGTGCCTTAATTATACCTGATACATGCTCCAGTTTTGCTATATGTGGCGATTACGAGCCTCCTTGTCTAGTGATGTAATAGGCCTGTTCTTTTTGGCTGAACTTTTCCTCTTGGAGAAAAAAGGAAGAAAGATGAACTGGTGCAAAAGTTCAATCAAAAAGAATAGGCCTATTAATTACTCGTTGCTGCACGGATTGTTCGCAACGTGTAAAGAGCATGTGATGTACGACCGTCAATATATCTAATGCCACGAGGTTGGAATCTGGTCCCTTTTTTATGGAAAAATGGGGCAGAACTGTAAGAAGTTCGAAAATAACTTAAACGTATAAAGAATCGTATGCCTCGGCCCTCATTGTCGACAAGGTCTGCACGTCCTGTCATACGGAAGTTAGCGAGCGTACGCTTAATTGATTATCGCAAAAGAGCCTCTAGTCAGATCGGTGGAGACCCTTGAACTTAACCTTATATCTTTAATAAAATGCGATGCGATATGAAAATTATCACAATTATCGGTTTCTAAAACCTGCTCCGCTCGGTTTCAGTTGGGATGCTGAAAAGGTCGAATCGACTAAGCGACGATGCTAATCAATTGTAATCTGTACTCGCGCAATACTTCAGAGGAACTTGAATTTTTCCATTTAGACTCCAGTGATCAGATTTAAAATTTTTGAGATATCATGGAATCGCGATTCATAGAATTTCAATCAAGCTACGACTAATTTTTCAGGAAACAAG